AACAGTAGGACACTGATTTTCCGGGAGGGGGATGCGGAATGTCAGTAAAAGTTTTTGATCATTGGAGGACAGACAGGCAGGCTGTTCTCCCAGCACAGCCAGAAAACCAAGCTGGGATGGATGTGCTGTCATGCCTAGCTTGGTCAGTTTGAAATAGAAAATCGGGGGACTAGAAGGAACACAAGATATTTCACACCAAGGAAGCAATAAAAAAAAAAATACTTTTTAACACTTGTACATGGTACAACAGGCACATATCAGGAATATGAAATATTGGGGTAACATTCTGTTAAGGTTGCCATAGATGGGTGGTTTTTCCATTCAGCCAGTGGGTTGAACGAAAAAAAAAAAAAGATTCCATCAACACAAATGAGGTGAATAGAGGACTTCCCCAACCCCTCTACCCTATGGGACATTGTATTTTGACAATTGGTTGTAGCTGTTGGTCAAAAGTTTCCAGCTTGTCCATTTGACAGAAGTCTAAGGATTGACTTCTGTTGAACAGAGAAGGCGATCTGTCTAAGGCCAGCCTAATATTCATGCAAAGAGAAGCTAGGAGCAAGAAAACTGAGAAATCCTCTAGTATCTTCATGGTTAAACAGGACTTGAGTTCCGTTTATTTGTAGGGGATATTTTTAAATTCACACTATGAGACTAAGGTGGAGATACGTTTTGGGTGGGATCATAAAATATTAAAAATAAATTGTATAAACCCAGCAAGGACATGCTTCAAATTCTGTGGATAATAAGCAGCCTCAGACGCTGGCTTAGCAAATATTAGCCCGCGCTTTGAGGTCAATAAACCCCAGAAATTTGTTGCTAATGTTATTTGTGGAACACCTATATATAGGATGGTATTCTTTCATTCTTGTAAACACCATGTAGTAACCTAATAGGACAAATAGATGTTCTTAGTTCAGCGCTGACAGTGCCCTCACACAGTTACACAATACCATTCTGTATAAAGGCACGGTGTGTGGCAGTGGAGCTTCTTTTATTTAGATATTTAAGCCAAGTTTACAACTTTTTTGTCTTCTGTTTATCTAGAGACTTGATTTTGGCCCTGCTGCGTTAGATCAATGCTTACCTGCAAATATTCCACGCCTGAATATAGACCATTAGGTTTGTTAAACAAAAATAAAAGTGCAATGTAACATAAGTTCTTTTATAAGAGTATAAAAATATCACCTTCCATTCTATTGAGGTCATTCCAAATTGTGTTAAAGCTGAACTCTAGGTAAATGTACATCCTTAAAATGGTTCTAAAGCCCAAACAATCCCTGCAGTAAAAGTATGGGGCTTGTTTTGTTTTTTCCTCCAAATTATACTTACCTATGTGGATGCTGCATCGGTCCTCTGCCTGCTCTAAGTGTGATAACTCCGCGATCACATGAGCACTGATAGCTGAATTCTCACAGCCGCTGTCTGCTCTGCCCCGCAGAGCTTTGACTGTACTTCTACTTTAATGTAAACCATGTTTAGGTATTAGTATTGCCCCCTCAATCCCCCTTATACTTGAGCCCTCACTTGATCCTGCACTGTGCCTGTCTGTACTGGTTTTCTCCTCTCATTCCCTGGTCTTGCAGTCTTTGCCATGGGCTGCCACTGTTGTCAGTCAAATCCGCTAATGAGGGGGCTGGGCAGATCCACGCTGTCTGCATCTATAGACACAGGCAGCGCAGCTCACGATCAAGTAGGCAGGTGTGCCACGACAGAAAAAGTCTTTCTGTGGTGGCACACCAAGAGGAGAAGCCAGGAGCGCCAGCAGGGGACCCCGGAAGAGGAGGATCGGGGCCACACTGTGCAATTTTATTGCACAGAGCAGATAAGTATGACGTTTCTTATTTAAAAAAATAATTCTATGTATATATTACCTTACAACCACGTTAAATCCAGTTATATATTTATTAAAAATAATTATTTTCTGTCTATAGCTAATATAGGTATCTCTAAAGTTTTTTATAATGGCCCCTGGAATGCCATTTACAGCAGGACTTGGAGAGCAGAGTGATTGGTTTCTATTCCAGTGGACAGTGCTGTCAAATTAATGCTGTGAAAATAACTTTCAGTGCAGGAACAAGCCGCCTAGTCAGCTTGTTAATATTTTCATTGTCCAAGCAAGCTTAGGTGGTTAGATCAGCCTTTCTCAACCAGGGTACCTGGGGTGCCTTAAGGTTCCTTTTTAGGGGTGGTTTGGCAAAATGTCTAAAAATTGCCCAAAACGTGTATACAGGCCAGCAGGTGAAACAAGCCTGCCTTTTAGTGTGGATGTTGCTGCATTATATAAAACTATAAGAATAGTTTTTCACATTTTAGAATGGAGCGCCCCTTTTAAAATTAGTCTTGAGGCACACCATTTTAGAATGGCCTCAAGACTGTCCACAACTGTAAAGGGTGCCTTGGAACTATCCATAACTTTAAAGAGTGCATTGACTGAAAAAAGGTTGAGAAACACTGGGTTAGATGATACTACTGTATTCTTAAAGTAGCATTTTACCCATAAAAACTTGATTAAAAAAATGCTATTTAATGGGAAACACATTAATAATTATGGTACCAACATTAGTGTGTGCTGTAAATTGCCTCCAGCATTGCTCCAGTTTCTTCTTGCTGGAGGCTGACAGTTTGCTGAAGCCCAGAGTCCCTGAGCAGCAGTCAATCTTTAGACTGTCAGCAGATCGGGCTTTACAAATTCGGCACAGTGCCAAAAAAAAAAAGAGAGCAACTGAGCATGTGCAGATCATGCTGAGACAGCGTATTGCTGGATTTTAAGCATAGCAAAAGTGGCCAACATAAAGCGACCTAGCAGGACTTTATTATTATTCATAATAATAGAGAAAATTGTGTCACCGTCCAAGTTGAGTGGTGTTCCACAAAAGTAGATTGACAATGTCAAATATTTCTAGTGAAAAAGGTTACATTTCAACTGTAAATCTGATTTGCTAAAATTGACATTACACACTTGTAACTTCTGAGTTCAAATTAATGGTTGGTATCTCTGGCGCTTTCTGCCCAGTTCCAACATTTTCTGATAGGCAGAGGTTGTCAACCAGAAGAGGGCTGTAGGGTGAGCCTGATGTAAGTGACAGCAGATTAGTGTGACATAGACTTTCACCTTTTTAGAAGTCTTTTTGAAAATTTTATCATTTGCCTATTAATCTGGCCATACACAGAGCAAGTTTCAGCCAGTTCCTGATGAACTGGTGGAAATTCACTCCATGGGTAGCCCTGTTGGCACCCTCCTATCTGACAGCCTTTGACTGAAAAAATCAAGAAGCCGGACAAAAAATTAATGGCCGAACAGCACCTGCTTCCAGTCAGATGCAGGCACTCTTTGGTTACGTTGACAGCTATCAGAATAAAGTAGCTGCAGTGGGAGATTTGTCCATTTTGTGCAGTTTATTTGCGCTGTGTATGGCCATCTTTAGTTACTTTTAAATGACTAGCAAGTATAATTCTGTCTGATCAGAGAAAGGCTGATACAAGCTTACACTGGCAAGCTGCTATGAAATCTGGAATTGATCCTTATCATGGAGAGGTTGGGGCTACGCAGATTAACTAGACAGAGTGGTGATAGGCAATACATAATGAACTAATAAAAGAAGATATGGTCTATGAGGAGTCACAGGAGTATGTACAAAAAAAAAAAAAATATATATATATATATATATAATCTCTATCGTGTGTGTGTATATTAATTTTTGTTGCTTGCCAGGTCAGTGTTAAAATATGTCTGCTAATGCAGCCTGTGGACTGTGGTAGCAGTAGTTTTGCTGAGCTTACCCCTGAGACACTGAATACTTGTACATACAGAGACACTTCTGTGTGAATTTTAACCATAAAACAAGTATATGCCACAGTGTCTAAACCCAAGTGACCAAAAGCACAGCCATCAAACATTACAAAATATTACCTCTGTAAATAAAGTACATGGTGGTTCTATTGGATTTTCCATGGATAACAAATACTGTGCATCCATAAATCCATATTTCATATGCCATGTGATGGAAGATGACATTTTAGATGAAATCCAAGTTTTCTATGCTTGTAAGGACCTTTTTACACCAAGTCACATCCATGTTTAGCCAAATCATGCTACTGTCATTCCATTGCTAGCTTCTTGTAATCTGAACATTTCACTGTCTGGTGTGGATGATCTGCAATGTTGCTACAGAGTGTATTTAGAAGTTTTCCTATTTAGATAAGTAGGGAGATCTCCGACACAGTCCATGTTGGCAGCTGTGCATGATACATAAATTTTACCATTTTCAATGGACCTGCAGTAAGAGAGTAATAGTACCAGGATTTACACGTTTGCTATCTAAACCACACAATTCAATACCCATAAATGGAGACTTTTTTTTTAAAAATTTTTTTTTAGGCTAGTATCTAGCTACATGAGCGCAAACTTATAATGGCTGTCAGATTCTTTTCCACTTGCTCATCATGGCAGACCAAAGAGACACCTTATTTTTAATGATCAGTCTGTTATTTGGGACGTTTAATGTTATGCTTGGTATTTTGTGTTCATAAGAGGATTTTTTTTCTTTTTCAGGAAGAAGCCCGATATGTCTCGAGTCCTCTAGCCATGCTAACTGCTGCCTGCAACAAGTTTGGAGGTTCAAGTCCTATTCGGGATCCTCCGCCATCATCAAAATCTGGACCAAAAAAGTCTTATAGTCCTACAAATGACTTTAGTGCAACTAAACTGATGGGGGATGGATACTCCTCTGCCTACTTAGGCGGAAGCAATTTAATGACACCATGTGGGACACCACCTGCTCCTTCAGGTTATGGTAGTGACTACACCTCCTTTTCCCATTCTTTCCCTTCTTCAGGGTGCCAGGAGCCCAAAAGTCTTTCAACAGCTGAGTGTGTTCCAGGAGTCTACACCTCCCTAGATGTAGGGCATCCTTACAGTTCATGGTACAAAACCGGAATCCATCATCCTGGGATCTCTGGTTCCCCCCCCCCCTGGAGCAGGAGGCTCTTGGTGGGATATGCATCCTAATAGCAACTGGCTAGGTAACCAGCCACAGCCAGATGGGTTAACTGCATCTATGCCACCTGTGACAAGCCCAGCAGGTATGAGCAACCAGTACACTGCTGAATACACCACATTGACACCTGCCACGTATGCACCTGTGGGATTTCCATCCATATCACCCTCATCCAGCCCTTCCCCATCATCTCATATTCTATCACCATCTCAGCACTCACTGGGGCCAGATATGTATAAGCCAAAACTTCTTACTGCTAGTCCATTGCTTGAGGCTCCAGGGCCTCTGAAGCCTCAAAGAGCCTCATCATATGGGAATTCCGGACGTCCATCATGTGACTGCCCAAATTGCCAGGAACTAGAGAGATTAGGAGCTTCTGCAGCAGGGCTGAAGAGAAAACCTGTACATAGCTGTCATATTCCAGGCTGTGGTAAGGTCTATGGCAAAGCATCTCATCTTAAGGCTCACCTTCGTTGGCATACAGGAGAGAGGCCCTTTGTCTGCAACTGGCTATTCTGTGGAAAGCGCTTTACACGCAGTGATGAGCTTGAGCGACATGTGCGCACCCACACTCGTGAGAAAAAATTTACATGTCCTCTCTGTGCAAAAAGATTTACACGCAGTGATCACCTAAGCAAGCACCAGCGGAGTCATGCTGAGCAAAATGGGACAAAGGAGGGTGGTGTTCAGGGTGATGGTGGTGGAGGAGCTGTAGAAGGCACAGGAGAAGATGGGCCAGGGGCAACAGAAGGATCCCCTGTTGGCACTAGCCAAGACAGATCATCTAGTAGTCCTGGACAAGGTTTGTTGGAAATATGAGGACAATAGCTGAAGAAATCGAATGCCTATTGATGGAATTTTAAGAGCAGTCCAGAGCAATTCGATCCATCATGGTGAAGATCCAGTAAATACTATAACTGCAGTTGGGTCCAAAATGTGTATGCCAAGTCTTTTGTATGGCAAAGTATTCTAGTGACTAATGATATATTTTTATCAGGACTCACAAGCTTGAAAATGTAATAGCTCCCTTTTTTAAATCAGAGAAAAGTAGCTGAAAGATGGCTGAGATTGTAAGATCAATATTTCAAAGTATAAAGGAAGCCCATCAACATGACACCTTTCCCTCTAGACCATTTCTGTTGTACTTTTATTCTGCCAGTGTTAAATGTTTGGAAAATGTTTATTGATACAGATGATGTCTACCTCTCAGCGTTCATGAAAATTTTTCTGCTAGCCTGTTAGAATGCACAATGGTGAAGCAGTGAAATGGAGACCTCAAAAAAAAAAAAGCCCAGACTAACGAAACCACAATAGGACAATATTTTTATTCTTATTCCACTAGTTTGTTGGTGCTGTTATGTATTTTGCACTTTTCAAATATTATTATGATTGTTTTTTGGGGGGGGTCTTTTGTTTTTATTTCTAAGCAGGTTGTCATAAAATTTTTTTTTTTTTTTTTTTTTTTATTAAAAAGCTAAAATTGTATAGGCACGTATGTATATGCATACAAGCTGATCATTTTTAGTATTTCTAATTACTATATCCTGATATTTATTAAAACAATGTACAAAGGAAACTTGTTGCCCATAATGTGGTACTGAATTGTACCCTTCCATTACCAACACTCTTCATCACACAGTAGAGCATACAGGAAGACCCAAGTAACCTCCATATTGCCATGGCTTGAGCTTGTACTGGGTCAATGCCTCTCACTCTCCACCCATACATGACAGTGATTGGGCCTGGCAACTGGCTGCTCTGAAACAGCACTGTATCTCTGGAGGAAAGGATGCAGAGAAGGATTAAGGCACAACGGGGCCATAGGCAAAATGGCACCTTTGCTCCAGTTTATCTCCTTATTGATAAGGATCCCAATAGGTACAAAAAGCCACCCCATTGGCATTGTATGTACTGACATGGCCCCATCAGCCACCAATTGCCTTCAAGTGCATTCAGTGACAGGCAGAAACTCTTTTGACGAACTGAGCTATCTGCTTTTTGTGTGGTGGTTTTTTTGGGTTTTTTTTTTTTTTTTTTTGTTATTTTGCAGGATCATGATAGTTGTGATTCGAAGGTTCAGTTCACATAAAACTTATCTTGACTGTGGATAATGCCAGGCTTTATCACTTTCTGGCTTGTACAGTACCTGTTGGTGACTCAGGCTGCATGCTTTTCCTGGCTCTACCGTTACCATACACTTCATGGAGTCTTCCTGTTGAATTGTCTATAATTTAGCCGGAATTCAAATTCCAAAACAAAAAATGATATGCCGTAATAAAGGCAGTCATTAGAGGATGGATTTTCAATGTTTAGAAAAGGTATCTTGTTGACAGAATCTCCCTTTTCTAATCTACCTAAATAGTAATCAGTTTTGGATGTACTAACCAGAAACCTGTCATGAGAAAAACTTGGATAGTCCCATTACTGACATGTTGATTTGAAAATACTAGTTGCCTGGCTGTCAAACTGACCCTAAACGCATAAAAGAAATTCCTGCTGAAAGGTAATATAATATGCTATCACATTATGAAAGACTTGCCTTAGAGTGAAGCCCTCCTGCAGTGCGCTGTCACCGCTGCAGAGGCTTTCATCTTCACCCAATGACTGTTTAGGAGATATTCATTTTACCTATAGGTAAGCTTTGTTACCTGTTTAGTAAAAATGAAAAAAGTGACTTTACTACCGCTTTAATAGTGAGTCATTGACATGGAAAAGGTACTTTGATAAGGACCTCTCACATTTTGACTGACTTTCCTGACACTTGTTCCGGAATATCAATTTGGAAGGCTTGAAAGTTAGCAGGTCAGGCATCTACAATGACAGCTGACATATTTTAAAAGAGAAGTTGGGCTTTTTCTTTTTGTCCCCATTTATACTTAACTAGGTGGATGCAGCATCGATCCGATACTGTGTCTGTCCCCCCGACGACTATAAGAGTGAGAACTGAGCAGTCGCATGACCACTCATCCCTGAGTTCTCACAGCCATTCTGAACAGAGATTGGTGAATGTCAGTCACCGCTCTCCGCTCTGCTCATTTCCCCCTCAGCCTGCGGTCACTGGAGTGCTGGACTGTGGAGGGGGAGGAAGCGGCTAGCTCAGGCTGAGCCAGGTGCCGCTTTGAAGTCAGGATCTTTCCCCAGCCTGGACCTGCTGAAAACGGGTCACAGGAGTGCAGAACAAACTCCACTCCTGTGATTCACAGGAGAAGTACAGCCAAAGGAGCTTTGGCTGTACTTCTCATTTTAATGACAGGTTTATGGCAAGTGTAGTAAACTGCTCATACACAAGACATGATGAGCACCTTTCAAAGACTTGCATTGTTTGAATCAAGATCAATAAGCTATACATATACATTTACAAACCCTGTATACATACCAATGCTTACATACAGACCTAATCTCTTCCCCATATACCTACTGTGGTTTGGCAATATACAATTGTGGTAAAATGGGACATTTGGTGTCTGTACAAAAACCACTGTATCAGATGTAAAAGAGTATACCAGTGTTGACTAAAAAGTTGGGTCAGCAGGTTCAAATGGTTTAGATATTTTCCCACTGATGTATGCAGAGTGCCGCACAGAACCATTGCTGAAATTCATTTAGTATAAGATGCTTGTCCGAGAGGCAAATAGCATATGTGCTTCTCTTGGAACTTTTGAGATTGAGTCCTGCACAGACAGAAATATGAATGGGTAGCTATTGTAGTAGCAGTACTTCTGAATTCCAATAATGGCTTTAGAAGAATTGCAACCATTTTCCAAGATTATTTTTTCGTCTTCTCTGTTTTCTATATACAGTATGCTAAAGGGTTAAATGCTCAATATATCTAGTGGGTGATGAGACGCGTGCATTACTTACCTTATACCCTGCTTCAGGCTGTGGGTGTTCCTCCAGCAGCTTCACATACAATGCAGACCAATTAACCTTCCATTGTATGTGGTGGAGGTGGCAGTGCAATCAGGACTGGGAGCACCTTAGAAAGGACCACCACTGGTCGCACAGCTAGAGCATTCAATCGGATAAATATTATGTTGTCTTCCTATAACCCTGTGAAGCCTGCATTAGTTTTATTTTAAAGCTCTTTCCATTTAGGTTCAACTGCTAGTATCCCCTTCCCAGTCCTAGGATGGCAACACTCACTCACCAATTTTTTTTTTTTTTTGCCAATTTCTTATGTGTATTTATTTTTTTCTGAGATCCATGTAATTGATAAGTCCACATAGGCAGAGAGCTCAGGAAGTTATTAGCTTGCAAGATTTCTGGGAAGATTCTGGGTATTTCTTTGAACTTATTAAAATGACCCAACAAAGTTCTTTCAATGATATACAATTGCTCTGAAAAGCAATTCGGATTAGTTTGCTTTACAGAGGTGTTTGGCAGGTGGTGACTGGGCCATATGTCTCTTCCTCAATGCCTGTTTTTTTTACCCTGTACATGCCACACTACTGTGCCACAATATGTAATGCACACAGTTGCAGGGCGGCTGTTACATGTCCCAATTCACTTAGACCCCCCCCCCCCCCCCCCCCAAATGCAGATGCAAATGCTCCCCAAATCTAAACACAGGCCTAATGGCTGTGGTAAGGTCAAGACGGGACCTCCAAAAAAGCTGATCTTCCCAATGCTTCTGCCACATACTAAGTAATAGTTTGCAGAAATATGTAGATGACTTATCATTCAGGAACAGCTTTCTATGCAAATTAGAGATCTAAAATTACACAGAATACAACCAAGCTAACATCACAAACTTTAAACCGCTATATCCAAAAGCTATAGACAATATTGCACCAATGTCCTTCCTTAATTGGTATGGAATACTTTTCTTATGTCTCGATTTTAGACAGCGTTGCCTTAGGAAAGGAATGCAATACATTTTTATTTTTAAATGAATGTTAATATAATGTTCTAATTTTTTAAGTTAATTATACCTGTAAATATTTTAAGGTATGTGCATTTTGTATTAAACCTTTTTATCTGTTGAAGTGCCTTCCAGTAAGCTTATCAGAAAGCCAACTGGGCTTATTCCAGTCCTTTGTGACAGTCCTGTGCAGCCATCATGCAGTACTCGGAACTCCTTGCAACGAGTTATATGCTGTGGATATGCACTTTTGAGATCTTGGAAATTTGCATTCTTTATTTTATTTTTTAAATCTTTTTAAGGAAGTATTTTAGGCTTACATGTCAGAATGTCTTTCAATGTACATTGCAGACTGTTTTCATAAAAAAGGTAAATGCTAAGAAATACAGACATTTTCTATTTTTTAATTTCAAAGATAGTGCTGACTGTTCAGACCTCAAGGGCCAGGATTCACCCACAGTTTTAGGAGTTTATCAAAATAACATTGAATTAAGCGTTAATTCGCATAAGCATGCTAGTATCCCTGCTTGTTATTGGTCCTTGAGGAGTGAAATTAGCAGCTTTGTTCTAGGTATGTTTTGTTGTATATTGATTGAACACTATTTATTTGTATTTTTTGCTTCAATAAAAAGTGAAAATTTTGGTCTTCTGCAAATTATGTTTGCATTTTATTTGTGTAATGGTTTTATTTATACACACGTTTACATTATCTAACCCTTCTCAATCTGTTCCTTTTACAAGTGATTTTAAACCTTTATTTTTTAGTTAATTTTTTTTTTTTTTTTGTACCCCTGGTTCACACTAGCCCACATGCTGAAGACTGGTTGTGGGTGCGTAAATCTATGTGATAGCCACATAGCATTTCTCCTGCGAGACATGCGGGATGCCATTCATTCTGAATGACACTTCCATGCATCCCATCCTGCAGCACAAATGTGGATGTGGGAACCGCATGGTC